GGGCGCGCGTCTGGGCAGGCCTGGCGTTGGTCGCGGAGCGCGTGGCGCCTGGCTTGCGACGCGCGGCGGGCTGGGCACGTTTCTTCGCCCGTAGGATGGTTGGGCAAGTGCTCTCCTGCGCGCTTTTCACGGAACAGGTCACCTTCGCGGCGTGATCTGTTGTGGCCAGCTTGTAGATGAGGAAGCGGGCTCAGAGGCCACGGGATGTGTCCCGGGCCCCAGCTGCGGGCGGGAGGTCCTGACAGGACAGGGTGGCTGACTCGGGGCCCCTCCTTCCCACAGGACTCGACAGGTGGGTCACCCTGGATGCAGAGGGCAGTGCCCGTGCTGCCACACTCCCGTGCCCAGCCGGGTTCCTCTGGGCTTCCCTGGTCCGGGGAGCATGTCGCCTGGAGCCCTGCCAAGTTAAGCCTGGATGGAGGCCCTGGGGAGGTGGCCCCCGAGGGAACAGAGCTCACTCCCCACCCGTGGGCCAGGCTGGGGACGGTGCCTGGGGAGCCCCCCCGAGAGGCAGGACCCTGTCAGCTCTCGGGCACGGCCAGGCGCCTGGGGCAGCAGCCAGTGCTCCACGGCATTCACGTGACACAGGCCACGATGGGGAGCTGGGGCTGACAGCCCACCCCCTTTCTCCCACTTGGCCTGTTTGCTTTCAGAGCCCGAGCTGGATGTGCGGAGGAGAGCGTGAGTAGCGGCCTTGCTTGGGCGGTGGGGGTGTTGGGGCTGCAGAGAAACCCGGGGCCACGGAGGCTCTCCCACGAGGGTCTCAGGCACCCACTGAAGCCAGAGCCGAGCAGGGGCAGCCAGCCACCGTGGCATCTCGCCTTGTCATCCATGAAGTTTGAGACCAGCCTGAGCGACAGAGCGAGACCCCGTCCCTACTAAAAAATAAGTTATCTGGGCGTGGTGGCACCTGTAGTCCCAGCTACTCGGGAGGTTGAGGCGAGAGGATCCCTTGAGCCCAGGAGGTCTCGGCTGCAGTGGCCGTGATCATGCTGTTGCACTCCAGCCTGGGAGACAGAGGGAGACCCGGTCTCTCAAAAAAAGGGAAAACAAAGAAGGGGAGATTGAGGCCCGCACAGGCTGGCAGCTGGCTACACAACCCTGGCTTCCCTGGAAACACATTGATCTCTTCCTGCCCCGTCTCTCACGCCCTTGTGTCTGCCACTCGTGGGCTAGTGGAGGGGCCGGGTCCAGGCCAGCGGACGAGAAGCAGTCAGCGGCTGAGCTTGACCTCGTCCTGCAACGACATCAAGACCTCCAGGAGAGGCTGGCCCAGGAGATGCTGGGCCTTGCTCGCAGCCTCAAGACCAACACGCTGACCGCCCAGAGCGTCATCAAGAAAGACAACCAGGTGTGGGCTGTGGGAAGGCGCTGGGCTCCGCCCCAGGGCGTTGGAGAGGGCTTCCTGGCTCCGGCGGTGTGGCTTGGCCCTGCAGGATGAGCAGGCGTTTGGCAGAAAGCAAAGGTGGTGTTCCTAACAGAGGTCACGGCCCTGACGAGCAGCAGGGAGAGGCCGCCTCGGCCCAGTCCTGTGGACACCCTTTCCATGTCACCGGCAGACCCTGTCTCACTCGCTCAAGATGGCTGACCAGAACCTGGAGAAGCTGAGGACGGAGTCGGAGCGGCTGGAGCAGCACGCGCAGAAGTCGGTGGACTGGCTGCTCTGGGCCGTGCTCGTCGCCGTCTGCTCCATCTTCATCAGCGTGATCCTGTTCATCCGCATCATGCCCAAGCTCAAATAAAGCCGCCGGCCTGGCCCTCGCGCTGCAAGCCCCCTGGGCTGCCTTTTGGGTGGGCACGAGGCGTTAGGTCCTGGGAGGCCTGGAGTGCGGAGCAGGGGAGGCGGCAGGTCGGGGGGACCGTGACTCGCCAAGTGCCCCGTGACCCCCGCCCCTTCGGCAGAACGAGGCCAGGCCCCTGGAACTCAGATTCCGCGAAGTCCTCCCGACAGGAGGACTTCAGTGCTGAGTCCAGAGGGCAGAATGGGGGCCTGCAGGGTGGAGGAGGGGCGGGGCCAGGCCTTTCATGGGGTTGAAGTCAGTGACTTGGGGACATTGCAGGTGCCTCACACAGTGGATCGGCCAACACGCATGGGCCGTGCTCAGCGGAGACCCTCTGGCCCGGGTCTAGCCACTTTGGAGAAGTGGGCACAGGGTTGTGGAGTGAGTAGGGTGGGGCCTGGGCTTCGATCACCCTGACTGCAGACAGCCACAGCCTGGAAGGGAGGGAGCTTGGGGGTGGCAAGTGCTTGGGGATGTCTGTCCCATGGGAGAGTGGTCACTGGGACACGTGGAGGGGGTCTTGTGGCCCCAAAACCACCAGGTAGATGTGTCTCAAGCCATAGTGACAGCTAGATTTTCTACAGACAGGGTCTCACTGTGTTGTCCAGGCTGTCTCAAACTCCTGGCCTCAAGCAATCCCGCCTCAGCCTCCCACAGCACTAGGATGACTGGTGTGAGCCACCGCACCCAGCCTCCAGTGGGAACTTGAAAATATACTTGAGGGGGCCGTGATAACACAGGTGCTGGCAAGGATGTGGGAAAACCCCCGCTTCTCCCACTGCAGGTTGAGGCATGCTTGTTGCGGCCTCACTGGGGACGCCCATGGCATCTTCCAAAATAAAAACACACAAGTGTCAGAGGCTGAAGCGGAAAGATTGGTGGAGCCCAGGAGTTCAAGGCAGCATAGTGAGAAATGTCCCTGCCCCCCCAAAGAACCAGAAAATCTACACAGTCCCTCTACCCCGGCAATTCCATGTCTAGGAATGTATCCAACAGATAATTGTCCCACCGGTGGCCAAAGACTTTTTTCTTTTTTTGAGTTGGAGTCTCACTCTGTCGCCCAGACTGGAGTGCAGTGACCGCTCTGGCCACCACAGCCTCGACCCGCTGGGCTCCGGCGATTCTTCTGCCTCAGCGTCGCTGAAATTACAGTTGCGCGCCACCACACTTGGCTGATTTTTGATTTATTGTAGAGATGAGGTCTCGCCAAGTTGCCCAGGTGGGTCTCAAACCGGCGGGCTCAGGCCATCCCCTCACCTCGGCCTCCCAAGTGCAGGATGACAGGCTGAGCCACCGAGCCCGGCTCAAAGACGTTTTCACACTGATTTCTTGGCAACGTTGCTTACGACAGAGTATGTTTGTTACTGACTGCTTCTGGGGACAGGACGAGCGAAAAACTTACGCCTTGTGCGATTTTTTTCTACGGCTTGGATTTTCTATACACGCCTCTATTGATTGTTTAAAGAGATGTTTTAAAAACATAATCGCTGCCAGGCACAGCGGCTCACGCAGCACCCCAGCAGTTTGGGAGGCAAAGGCGAGGGGCCTGCCTGAACCCAGGGGTTGGAGACCAGCCTGGGCAGTAAAAGACGGGCCAGGCGTGGTGGCGTGCACCTGTGGCTCCGGCTACTCGGGAGGCGGAGGCGAAGGCTCACCGAGCCCAGCGGGCGAGGCTGCGGGGGCTGTGACTGTGCCTCTGCACTCCGGCCTGGGCGGCAGTGTGGGGCCGTGGCTCACAAGCACACGTGTGTCTATTGGCGGAAAAGGGCAGGCCCGAGTTCTCGAAAGGCCGCTTCGCTCTTCATGGAAACGGCGGAGGTGGGCCGCGTGGGCCGCTGGCGCCAGCAACTCCGAGGCGGGCCGCGTTCCAGCCGGGGTGCCCGGGTCCGCGGCCGGCCCC